ATTATAAAATAACAGCCTGATAACAGTTACTAAAAAAATCTGTTAGATTATCGGAATCATATTTCTACTAAAATATAAAATACAAAAAAAAGAATAATTTTTAAAAAAAGTAGTACAAAAGTAATTTTTTTCCATTCATATTCAAAAATTTATCAATAACTGATTTTGTAAATTAAAGAAATTTCAATGATGAATAACTTTTTCTTTTGGATCTAAATAACTGCAAATAATTACAAATTCTAAAAATTATTGTTTGAAAGTGAAGCGCCTTTGGAGGATTTTACCTTAAACGCAGAAAAAGACAACGATGTTTCATAACCATAAATTATTAAAATGCGAAATATAGTATTTCTCATGTATTTTCAACTAAATTAATACAAAATAACACAAAAAAGTATGAAGAATATGTAAAATAAAAATTCTGCGGCAAAGGGTTAAGAAGAATATAGCTCTAAATGCGACTTCCTACGTGTATGACAATAAGAATAAGAAGTTATAACTAACGCTAATAGTTGTTGAAATGTTAATCCTATTTTATGATAAAGACTTAAGAGTTTTTGTTTTGATGTTAACAACTGAAATCTTTATTTCTATTGTGAAAGCAAGCAAACTTTAATATTTAAGAAATTAATTTATTTGCATAAAAAGTTAAAGAAAGATTGGTTTGTTTTTAAAGTATAACTATTGGAAAATTTGCTAAATATTTTAGCAAAAATTGTACTTTATTGATTACAATCACAGCATAAGCAGATCTGACGATCTTAAAAGCTAATAATCTATGCGGCCAAAGAAATTGTTTACAATTGTTACTAAAGTTGCACTTAAAACATATATTTAACTGAAAAGTTATTAAATTATATCTTTATTATGAAAAATGTGAAATTTTCAATGTAACAGTTAAAAAAACATCTCATAGTAATTTATATTTAAGGAAAAAATGTATTCCATCTGTATTTCCGTATCCGCATTTTACCGTACACATGCAAATTACTTGATATTTTAGTAAAAAACACATTTTGTAAAGATGCTTATGTGATTAAAACCCTTTGTTTTGAGACAAATGGGAATTTTTGAGCCAAATGGGAATTTTTGGGACAAATGGGAATTTTGAGACAAATGGGAAAAGATGAAAATATTTTCATACATATTTATTAAAAACTTTAAGCAGTCAAACAAAACATACAATTTCTGGTTTTTCCGAAACCCGAGTAACTGATACTTATTATATCCTTGTTTTCTGATTTTTCGTGGATTTATGCTCGTTTCATATGAAAATGCAAATGCTTCCAAATCTAAGAGCAACAGCAAAATAAATTCTAAAATCCTTTTGTTTTTCAGTGTTCCAGAGCAGCTGTTCCGAATTTATCCTAGCTTCGGAATTCTAGATTATCGACCCCTCTTCTGGCAGAACCCCCAGTTAATAAATTAAGTTAATATCAGTTGTAAACATATTTACCAAAGAAACACATAATACTAATCATTTTCAAAATAATTAATGTGCGGAATAAAAGGAATTTTTCCTTCTTTTTTTAATAAATTAGACATTACAGAACTGTTGAATTTACAGTTCTGGAATACATCTAGCTTAGTTCAGAACTTATTTTGGTGGATGCATAAGCTGATGATGAATGAAATAGTTTGATGGTTTTTCATTGAAATGAAAACGAAAAAGAACAGTTTGAAACGTTGAGAATGGTTATCAGAGAAACACAATTCTTTATTCTGGAATTTGATTATTTTCCTTGAACTGATGGAACACGTTAGAGTAGCGGTTCTTAATTTTTTCCGTTGAGGAATATTAAATGATTGATCTTCTGTTGGCAGAACCAAGCAATCAAGGAATAATTTCATTAGCAATGGGATACCTGCAAGTGACGTAGTGTGGGTATCTCGATCCCGATTGGTTGTTGAAACGTGGCATTTTACGTCAGCAACTGTTTTTTCCATTCTATTTCGACTAAGCCAAGCCTGTCAAGTATCAATTCTCTTAAGTAACACAGCCTAAATTCTTTCGCAAAGATTCACAAAGATTTCAACTATACCACCATAAATTTACACAAAGACAGAGGCATGAAGACATATAGAACATAAAGAATATGCCAAGAAGAATATATTTTGACTTTGCCAGGTATGCGGCACAAAAATATACCACGGTTACAATAAAATACATAAACAAAGTTAAGTAATAGAAATAGACTAAAAAGAATTATATTTCAAGAAATTCGATGTGCTAAATTTAAAGTGCTGTATTTAATTAACTTAACGTTTATTAGCATTTTAAGTTGGGTAGAGAAACTTAGCTCAACTTTAATACTTCATATTGCTGATAAAGATTTAGCTGGTGCTGACGTAGGTCACATGCTTGAGTATTAGTTGTCTTCTTCTTGGTGAGCTAGTACCCAATTGTGAACATATTAAAAAACGAAAAAGAATTAATCGTTTAAAAGTATGCAATTATCTAAATTTTATTAATTATTTTAAAACAATTAAGTGAATGAATAACGAAGTGATTGAGTGAATTTGATTTTAGTGCATGCATAAATTTGAAAAGAATAATGCAAATGTCATGCATAAGTTGATATATGGTTTCCATTAAAATAAAAACGAGATAAGAAAATAAACATTGAGAATGGTTGTCAGCGAAGCATAATTTTTCATTGTTGAATTAGTTTATTTTTATTCTATTCGAAATACTACTGGAATTTTTCATAAGCGTATATACAGTGGTGGCCAAAAGTGTGGACACTTTTTGAAAGTTTCATGTTTTTCAACTTTGCGTGCTTGAAGAATATATTAATTTTCACTTAAATACAAACGTTTATATATCAAATTGAAGGTAATTTAATGTAGAATTTAAGAATAAGTACAGTATTACAATATCTGTATTACAAAAAAAGTTATGCAACTACTAGTAAGATCTATCTTAGATTTGCATTTTTTTAATGTGATACTTACACAATCAATACTTAGTAGGATAACGCTTATTTTTTAAGACAGCTTCACAGCGTCTTTTCATCAAGTGAACGAGTGTTTGGAGTTCATCTTTCGTAATTACATGGTGCCAAGAATCAATTATAGCTTCAATAAGTTGTCTTTTATTGGATGGACGTTTTTTTCGTACAATAATTTTAAAACGTCGCCACAAATTTTCAATTGGATTGAGATCAGGGCTGTTTCCTGGCCATGGTAATATATCTATGCCTTTATTTTGAAACCATGCTTTGCATACTTTTGCTGTGTGGCATGGAGCTGAATCCTGCTGAAAAATAAATGGTGCGCTGTTGGGGAAGAGATCCCTGATGGAAGGTATCAATTTTGGTTTCAGGACAGTTTCGATGTATTTTTTGGCACTCAGGATGCCATCAATCACTTGAATTCGGCCCACACCATCTGCAGACATACATGCCCAAATCATGACATTTGTTAGGTTTTTAGTAGTTTAGTAGTATCAGGATGAAGTGCTTCACCTACTCTACATCTCACGTATTTTCTACCATCACTATCAAAGAGCGATATTTTACTCTCATCGCTCCAGATTACTTGCTTGCATTGATTTTCTGACCATTTAATGTGTTTGTTTACCCACTTAACTCGTTTTTCTCGTTGCTTTTGATTTAAATATGGTTTTTCCTTGGAATTCTAGCTTGTAGACCAAATCCTGATTATCTTCTTCCTATTGTTCTTGAACTTACTACAATACCCGCTGCATTCATTTCACATTTAATGGCATCTGATGAAATTTTTCTATCTTGAAGGCATAGCCGTTTAATTTTTCTATCGGAAGTAGCACTTGTGCATTTTTTTCAGCCTGATTTGACATCCTGAATGCCAAAAAACACATCGAAATTGTCCAGAAACCAAAATTGATACCTTCCATCAGGGATCTCTTCCCCAACAACGCACCATTTATTTTTCAGCAGGATTCAGCTCCATGCCACACAGCAAAAGTATGCAAAGCATGGTTTCAAAATAAAGGCATAGATATATTACCATGGCCAGGAAACAGCCCTGATCTCAATCCAATTGAAAATTTGTGGCGACGTAATAATCCAATAAAAGACATCCAATAAAAGACAACTTATTAAAGCTATAAGTGATTCTTGGCACCATGTGATTACGAAAGGTGAACTCCAAACACTCGTTCACTTGATGAAAAGATGCTGTGAAGCTGTCTTAAAAAATAAGCGTTATCCAACTAAGTATTGATTGTGTAAGTATCACATTAAAAAAATGCAAATCTAAGATAGATCTTACTAGTAATTGCATAAATTTTTTTATAATACAGATATTGTAATACTGTACTTATTATTAAATTCTACATTAAATTATCTTCAATTTGATATATAAACGTTTGTATTTAAGTGAAAATTAATATATTCTACTAGCACACAAAGTTGTAAAACATGAAACATTCAAAAAGTGTCCACAGTTTTGGCCACCACTGTATATCCTTTTTATAATTCTTTCATTATATTATCTTTAGAAAAGTATTGTTTTAATTTTTTTTTCTTTACAAGCATTTCAAGTAAATAATTTCATAAAAATAATGGAAATAACAAATAATGTATGTAAATAATGTATTAAAATTTATAAGTTTTGAAAATTACTAGTGATTAAAAGAGTTTCTAACTTTCGTAATCCCTGTGACCTTTTCACAGAACACCATTTGGAAAGCTTTGTACTAGATTTATTTTATAAACGCTTATTTTTTTTAATAATTTTTCAAAATGAATATTAGAATTTTTTCCCCTTTAAATAAATATGTCTGACATTTTGCTTGATCATTAAAAAATGCAAAATATTAAATAAAAAATGAATTGTTGATTTCATAAATATAATCACAGGTTTTAAAAATCATCACTGGCTAAAAAAGAAGTCCTAACTTTTGGAATCCATATGCAATTTCACGAAACCCTAGGGCTCCGCGGAGGAATACGATTTAGAACCACTATTCTAGATGCATATTACGATTGAATTGTTTCAATAAAAAACATTCTTACAGTGTCATCTCCTATGGTGTATCAGTTGAGTCGATTAAATGAGACAGCTGATCCAAAACCGAAAACGAAGTGGGTCGGGTAGAAGGATCTACTGCAGTGCATTTCCTTGTCGCTTGGCGTAACTAAAAAGTAAGGAATTTGAAGTTTAAAATATAAAAATTGTACAATCTAACATAAATAGTCTTGCTCAATAAATACAACATAAATATATTCTCTAGAATCCCATTCGACAAAAATTTTTCATTAAGTCATTAATATAAACAAAAATTAAATATTCATAAAATCTTTTAAACCATCATTAGATGAAGCTGAAAAGTGTTCCTAATTATATATTCCCACCTTTTTTTTCTGTCCCTTAGTTTTATCTGATAAACAAATTCTCATAGTTTCTAATTCCTGTTTACTATAAATGATCTTCTTCAAAATTATTCGCTAGATTTTGATAATATTATTTTCACTCACCTGTAGGTTCTAGTTTTTTTTGTCGTATGCCTGTTTAGACAGCGGGGGTGCGATTGTTCCTGTTTTTCAGTGTCGCCATCTATGGCCAGGAATTCGACTTCTGCCACGCCATTCTGACAACCACAACCCGTTTATAGGGCGGGTCACATTCACACACAAAGGAGAAGGGACATAGAACACACAGAGTGAGAAAGAAACATCCATGCCTTGCCCGGGATTCGAACCCAGAACCTTTCTGATACTAGGACAGTTCCCTGCCCCCTACACAGGCCTGTCGGCTGCAGGCTCTAATAACTTAATGTATGGGATTGAAGAAAGAGGGATTGAGAAGTGCTAAGCAAAGCATTTCTAGAGGAACTAAGAACACGCAAAATGATTATTTGATTTATCAGCGGTTTCGAAAATCAACCAATATTGTATTTTCATTTTTTTTTATTCTGAAGTCTTTTTTTTTCTCACCACTCTCCATTGAGTCATAGAAGAAGAATCAGGATTGAAAGAACAAAATTAGTTTATTACGAAACGATTCGCGCAAAATGTGGTAACCTTTCGCCGTAACGGCCGTGAAGATTCAGGAATTAATCATATGCTTAAAAGTGCTTTGCAATTTTTTCATCGAAATCTATAATAGATAGTCGTGATTATTGTAAAAGTTTCTTATTTGTATGAGAGCTTGGCTCACACAGGTCATTCCCTATCATTATAAACATATGTTCCCCCGTCTTCCACTGATGCCAGATATGCATAATCGTTGCTTGCATGTTGTTGTTGTTGACGTATGCTTGTTCAGGCAGAGGGGGTGCGATTGTTCTTCTTTTCCAGTGGTGCCATCTATGGCCAAAAGTTCGACTTCTGCCACACCATACGTCGCACCCGTTCATAGGGCGGACCCATTCATACATCCTTGCATTCATCCACGAATGGGAATAACAGTCGCAGTTTTCCACTGTCTAGGGAGTTTACCCAGTTTACTTGGTAAACTCCTTGGTAGTTTACTGGACTTGGTATAGGATTCTAAACCAAGGGGATAAGCAACAACAACATTCATTCATCCACAGATCGTAATTTTGACCTGAATCAGAGAACGATCGATCTCCAATCCAGTACCCCCAGAGGTTTTGATTTGTTATGGGAACATGGAGGACTTTTGCGACTCGACAGATTTAAAGTGCCGGGAGTCTTCGGCCGGCGGGGTTCGAACCCACGAACTCTCGGACATGGACCCAGCGCCCTACCGACCAGGCTATCCCGGCCGTTGCTTGCATACTTTCAGAAAGAACGAAGAGCAATCAACAGTTGAACATCCATCTCACATCATTGGTTGACGAGCGAACATGAGTGATCTTTCGTTGATCTAAAGATTTCAGATAAATGCAAGCATTTTAATTTAACATTATTGTCTGAAATATTTTGTTGAAGAATATTTGAAGTTTCTTTTCAATATAAGCAAAGAATTATAATGAAATCAGGTCGAATAACATCCATAATTGCACGCATTGTTTGGTAATAAATTAATTTTCAGTTTCACTTTTGCTTTTTTTTATATAGTTTAATGAAGACTGCAAAACATTACCTTTATTTATAGTCTTCGACGAATAGACTATCCACGTAGTGAAAGTGAGGTAATTACGTTCATTAATTTAGAAAAATATTTTACCACATAAGAAGTACCACATCGCAGTAGCTGTTTTCGAATCGAAATAGCGATTAATTTACACTTCCGACATTATTGTCCAGGGGTGGCCAAACTGCGGCTCGCGAGTCACATGCGGCTCTTTGAAGGATTATTTGTAGCTCTCTATAAATGTACCCGAGTTCCCTTTTCATTTTTGTGCTATTATATTTAAAAAAATTATAATCGTTCCGTATGTGTTTCAAAATGCTTTTAAATTACTGACAACAAATAGGAAAGGCTAAGTGCAACATTGTAGCAAATTTCATTTCCGTTCAAGTTAAGAATAATATGAATCATCGAAAACTGCGCGAACGAACATAAACAGTGACGTAATCGTCCGTAATCGACCGACTCCAGACCGATTAACACGATCTACCAATAATTTATTCCTTTTTTTTTCTAAGAAAAAGTAAGCTGGAAGGAATATTGACGGAATTCCAAAATAGATTTCAAGCCTCGAAATATTTTAAATCGTCTCCTGATTTTTTTCGGAATCCATTTGAAATTAACATAATTCAAAGTGAGTGTTTTCCATTTCCAATATAATTATGACCCAAAAAGCATCTGGAGAATTAGAATTAATAGAGATGCAAGAAGATCAAGCTCTACAATTAAAATATTTTGGAAATTTGCACCAGTATCGAAGTATCCTGAATTAAAAAAGGCTGCTTGTCGATTTATTTCAAGATTCAGAAAAACGTACTTAAGTGAATCATTTTATTCCACTCTAAAATTCGTGAAATCCAAACACCGATCAGTATTAACTAACCAGCATTTTAAAGAATTACTGAGAAGTGTTTCACCAATTATTCACCAAATTTTAAAGAATTATCAAGAGAAGCAAAATAAAAGTGTTTAAATTTTAATATTTAAATTCAATACACGTATTATGTACTTTTATTTATATGTTTTCAATAAATATAATTTCCGTAAAAAAAAAATTTAATAACTTTTTTGCATACCTTTTAAATACGTATTTAATTGCGGCTCGCGAAAAATTTCAAATTTTGAAAAATGGCTCGACTATCAAGGAGCTTGGCCACCCCTGTTATAGTCTGTCTATGGAAAAAACTCCCCTCGCCATTTATATGGAGCAGTGGTGGTGACTATAGTTACAAGGTTTAACTATTTCATGTTGGATCAACATTTAAAACAAATTTTGGATCGAGTAGGAGAGAGAAAAGGAATATTTCTTGTTTCCGTAGCAGCACATGACTTTAAACTTTGTGGCGAAGAGAGTTCTTTCTATAGACTAACTATAGGATAATATGTATTACAATAGAGGTGGTCCACGTCCTTTTAGTTTTGTATTATCATGCTTATATATAATTCTTTAATGAATTAAGGGAAGTAGGAGATAAAGTTTTGTGCTGTAATATGTAAATTGTGCCTAATGTGATTTAAATTAGCGTATTTAGTACGATGAGCATTGCTACATTTAATGTGATTTAGAGAAAAATAAAATTAAGTAATAAGACACAGTAATAATAGCGGAAATATTGAAGCAGACATAGAAGCAGACTAGATTACAAAACATGTTTATCGAAATTGTTTAAATGTCTTATCAGACAAGGTCAACTTATGAAACTAATTAAGGACATTATGACCTCGCTTAGATGCATCCAAGTCCACAAAACTATATAGTACTCCCTTAAATTATAGCTATGCCAAAACTTTATTTAATTTTAAACGTCTAAAACACTTTTATTGATATTTTCTCTCTTCGAACTTTAAATTCATTGCTTATTTAAACTCAACTTTAAATTTAATTAACTGTTATATTTGTTCGACTGTTTTTCAGTTATTTATGTTTTATGACAAAAAATGTAGAAATGTCAAGAATTTCTAACAGAACACTATTGCCTCATAGTACGTAGTTTTATTTACTTTAATATTAAAAAAGTAAAACGTTTAAGTTTTGACTCAAATCGTATTACGCTAGTTCAGACTAAGTATAAAAATTTAAACTAACATGCTATTGTCAAAATAATATTTTTTTCTTTTTGTAAGGTGTCCCAATGGATTCGTAATGATAGATCTGAAATCAACCACTCGCCACTTGGCGAGTCAACAAAAAAAGGGACAACTTCAATTAAATAAACAACCACTTTTCCCCGTCGCAAAGTAAGATATATATTAAAGTAAAGTAAGATATAATATTTCAAAGTTGTAATGTATACATTAAATGTGTTTTGCTTCTCTAAAGTTCCTTAAACTCAGAATGTTTAACTAAATTTTTTCACATATTTATATTATTTTTATTGTTGAACTAACTTATAACCGTAGATTATTACAAATATGAGTTTTTTTCAAAATTTGAATCCAAGCAAAAAAATAAAAAAAGTTTACAACAAATGGCGATTAAATGAAAATGACCTATTGATATCGGTCACCGATTCATTGAGTTTGAGAAAAGTGGCTGCTACTAAGTCATTTTATTTTATATTTAATAACCGTCGTTGAACAACCGACACAATTGTTTTGGATTTACGACTGTTAATGTTCAACTCCGTAGCCTTATAATTTTGAACCCAGTCCAGAAGTCAAAGGAATTCCTGGATCAGGTATTGGGAGAAATTTGCCCTCGTGGAGAACTTTTTGATGGAACTAACCCGCATTTGCGTTACATGAAGATGAAGACCACGAGAACCTCCTACGTTTAGCCTGACGGCAAAGGGACTCTAGCCCATGATCCGTCTATCACTGAGAATATTTCCCGCCAGCACTGTGGTTGGTGCTAGTCGGATGCGGATTCGTATCGATCAGCCATCGCCGGGATTTGAACTCGGTTCACCTTATTGGAAGGCGAACGCTCTATCCCCTGAGCTATCGCGGCTCGCTACTAAGTGATTTAAGTCTACCGGCCAATTGATATTAACTGAAAATTAAAGTTTCCCAAAGTAAAGATGTTTTCGGTTAAAACAATTTGATTGTCTGAAATGCCTAAAATATTTTCTATAGTCTTAAAGATTAGGTTATGGTGTTGTGTGATCCTTCTTTTTAGTTTAATGGGCATACAACTAGTTTCAGTTCTGATGATTTTGTGCTTTGATACACGATTAAATATGAGCATCAATTTTAAGTCTTTTGAAAATTGTCTCACAACTTATTAAGATTTTTTGAAACCATTCAGCCTTTGAGAAAATGCTCTTTGGTTTGAATGATGTAGAAACTTCCTTTTGACTACTAAAAGCACCCCAAATAATGCTTAATATTTAAATACGTATACTTAAATAATTATACTTAAACAACAATGCTTAAATTGACGAAAGTTTTACTTAAAATGTACCTGCAGTTTTTCCAGTAATTCATGCTTCCATGGGTTATAATTGCTGGAATCATTAACATCGAACTATTTTTTCGTTACTCCGAAAGAAAAAAAAAACATTTGACATTTTGATTATATTAGCAATTACACAAAGTAAATTTTACTTTGTGTAATTGCTAACATAATCAAATTACTCAAATTTTATTTTTCTGAAATTTTATTATTACTGCAAAAACTGATGAAATTCTTTTTTTAAGCATATTCAATCTTTTTAATTCATAAAAATCAACGTTCTTTCTCGATATATTTTCATTGGAACTAAAGGATCAATTTAAAGATTTCGATTGTTTTGGTAAAAAAGTTTGAGATTGTTTCAGTTTGAGTTTGTTTGAGATTGAATATTTTATACTTTGAATCGAAATATATTTTAGTTTTTTAGTCATACATTTAAATAAATCTTTATTACTTTACATTTTCTGTTTCTATATATGAATTTAAAAAAACATTTTGGATTGTTCTCTTGTTATCGTTCAAGATTAATTTTTAACTTTACTACTTAAGCTTTATTTAGTTATACTTTTGTCTCTTACTTTTAAAAAGTTACGTTCTATTGTATGCCACTATTTTAGGGTATGCAATAATTCCTTAATCTCAGTTAATGTCAATAAGTAACATTGTTATGTGCAATCGAATTTTAAGAAGAATGAAAATAATAATAGGAATAATATCAATAATAATTATCATAAAGGTAATTATACTATTAATAATTATAATTTACTCATAAATAGAGGTTTTAAAATTAGTGTTTGTGTTTAAATAGGTATACAGCACAGTAATTTTTAAAAAAAAAACTTAACGAAAATTAATTACCGATTTATAACATGCATGTTATAAATTTACCAATTTATAACATTCAATTATTCATAAATTTAATACGTTTTATTTATTTTTCAATTTTCATGTAAATGCAACAAATCTAATGTTTAAAAAGGTAAAATAAATAAAATCTGAAGTATTGTGCTGAGGCTAATCTTAAAATATATTTCAAAGGATCAAAGTCACGACAGTGCAAAATCTATCACAAAATCAAGAGAATAAAAAATATACTGATAAAAACCCTAAATAAACACTTTTAAAGCTAAAATAGGACAAACGTCGGTTTTTTTTACTAGGTTTAATAAAAAATGGATTTGTTCATGATCTTTTTCCCTTATTATCTAAAGTTTTATGATATATTTTTGGCATATCACATAAATGAGTTATTTACAAACAACACACTTGACGACTATCTAAGACTTGTGATCTCTTTAATTTCTTAACCATTTCAAAGGAAAAGGCACATATTTGCGAGGTAATGCTAATTCACTTTTTGAAAATCATTTTTAATTTTGAAAAATGAATAATTAATATTTTTGTAATCAGGATGTTAGGAGATAAAATATACATAATACTCCCTTTTTCAAAAAAACTTCAGTTATATGTTATAAGTTTGTGTTATAATGATATGTTATAATGATTTTAATGTATAATGATTATAATTGATATGTTATAATTATTTTAAAAGGGTCAATTCCACGAAAAGCAGACAGATAATACGCCGGTTACCATTTAAAAAATTTTAGCACAATAATTTTTTTTGTACTAAATAAGTTTTATAATAAGTAAAATAAATAAGTTTTAATTACATGCAAAATAATAAAGAGCATTATATTAAAATAATCATATTTTTTATGAACAGTTAAGTCAAGTTAACTAACTGTCTTAAACTGTCACAATTTCTCGTCATGTCGGTCCCGTTAGTAAATATCCTTTTCAAAAAAGTACTTCCTTTAAATTTTTTAATTTATTAATTTATGTCTTATAATTAAGTCTTGTTTTGTGAAACAAAATTTTCTGAACCCAAGTTATGCATCATTTCAGAGCAATTGATCATATAAGACACTGAATCCTTGTTTGTTTTTGTCATGTTCGTTACGGCATGTATTTATTTATTAATTTAAATATTTTTCGCCTAAAGCAAACTTTTTGAATTATTTTTAATTCAAAGTTACATAAGCTGCTACATAGCGAAATTTGTGAAGATATTTAAACATTCGGTTGCTAAAATTGATCAAGAAAAAATTGTTTGATGTCATATCTGATGCCATGGAATTGACCTAAGATAATTATTTTTTACATAACATGTTAAAAAAATGTAATAATAATTTCACTCTATTAATAGATTAGTGGTATTAAACAAATTTTACTTTATTCTTATTATATTATAAATTATACTTTTAATTCTTCAAATTTAGTTTACGCTTAAATAAAGTGGTTTTATATTTGTTGTAAAACTATTTTACTTTTCTCAATTAATACAAGTGATAGGGCGGTAACTGAACATTAACTTTGATTGCTACAAAATTAAATAACATATTTAAAGTTCCTCTTTCTTTACTAAATATTAAACTCAGTATCATTATGCAAAAATATGATCATTAGATACTAAGCTATTTAGGTAATTCGCTTACCAACTGTTCTGAAAAAAGTTAAACCATTGCCTTTTAAATTTTGCTTGTGCATTCAATATGTAAAGTTTACATGGGCTTCAAATAGAATGCATGTCTCAAACCGATAAGTTAACTTGGAACTTCAGGGTTGATAAAAATTTGAAGTACACTAATATTCAGAGAAAAAATGTGTAAGCATTAGAATAAAAGTTTATGGTTTCATATCAATTGAAAAACACAAAAACGAACCAATTAGTTCGATAGATAAATCGTTATTAAGTGGAATTTTTTAAAAAATCATTATTACTATTATGCATAGAAAAACTCAGCAACAGATTTTAAGGCCTCTTAAAAACTACTATAAAAATCAGTAATGCATATATTGTTTAAAAAAATGAAATTTATTTTTCGTGTTGATAGCAAAGAGTAACTGTGTTGATAGCAAAGAGTTTCGTGTTGACTGAAAGATCAAGTGAGTGAGCAGTTATAAGCATAATAAAAAATCATGATAACTACCGTACATGATAACAAATTTCTGAAAACTTTCTTTTCTCGCGTGAGCAATGAAATGATAAAACAAACTGAGCAATAAGTTGGGCTGTAATAAAAGGTTAAAGGCGAATTATACATGTAAACAAGCTGTTCTATGTTTTTGTTTTAATTTTGTTTAACAATCAAGATAATTTAGAGCTACAATATTTTAGTTTTAATGATGATTCGATTTATTCTTAACTCAGAAGAGAGATGCATTTTATCAATGAAGATCGGTCTGTTTTGCTTTCTTTTCTTACACTTTTCTTTGGTTTTTATATATTTTATGGAGTTATGTTACTATAAAAGACTTAAAACTGTTGTGACCTCAAACATTAAAATTTATAATTGTGTACATGTTTATATGATAGTTTATGTTTGAAATCAAAGGTTACATGAATGTTTATGAGAGTTGAAGAATGATAAAAATGAAATGTTGAGACATCAAATGTTTCGCAGAATTTACTTGTTGCATATTTTCACAGCACTTTGTTTTGAAAAAAAGTACCAAAATACTAAACAAAGATAGAACAAAATATACAAGTAGCTAATGAACAAGCGAAGCAATCTGAAAAGAACTATGAAAACAGTTCGGAGGGTTGGAGAGTACAGTGAGTATAGTGTGTGGGTCCTAGTTAATATATATATTTTATTGGCAGTGTTCTTATATAGGAAAATTTGTGTTCGAAAATTCTAAAGTCTATAATAGGGAAGCTTCAGTTGGCATCTGTAGTTTTTTTAATAACTTGCACGCGCTTCAGTCAAATTGTTGGTCTTATTCCCACCATTATTATATCTTAGTGAGCCAGTAATAGAAGATTAAAATCTTCAAATACTGGCTTTCGGAAAGATAAGAAATGGCGGGAAAAAAGGTGCTCGCCTTTTTTTGGCGGCAAAGGAAACTTTGAACTAAAAATTTTAGTAGATGTACACATTAGAATGAAGAGAAATGCTTCAAAGTTGCTTAAAACTTAAGGAAATTAGAAGCGGGGATTATTAGAGTCGAGAAATGAGAATCATTTCAAAATTTGAGATGTTGTATTGGATAATTATTGCGCATAATCGATGAACATTACTACATGTCATTCAAGCTTTTACCATTAAATTAAAAACTTTTGGCTATATAAGTATATATATTTTACAGAAAAAACTCGTAATGTAAGTTTTTAAGTAAGAAAGGAATCTTGGAAGTAATAAATTAATAAAATAAAATTCTGCAATTGAAATTATAAAAAAACCAAAAATATTTCATTCTCAACGGTATTAAAGTATACTTACAGAATCTAAAATTTTCTCATCTTCATCAATGTTCCTCGGAAAACTGAACAATGGACATACATCTGGTCTTGTTTGATCACTATCTTTAGCTTCATTTCTTTTTATATTCCTCTCTTTCCACAATCCCTTCAGATGTCCCAGTCCTAGTAGACGTCTTTTCCCGAAAATATTTTCGCTGAAACGTCTCCCATTGGCAGAGGAATGACTTGTAAATTTTGAAGATTCGTCTTCAGATATCTCCATTTCAATTTCTTCATCGCTTCCAGCAGCAATATCGCTTGGTCTTCGAAGATCTAAAAGACCTCTGCATTTTTGTTCCACAGTTTGGAAAGCGTTGTGTATCCACTGAACAGAAGCAGAACGCTGCCTCGATGGTCCTGAAAATGGTGTTGCACTATATTCTGTTTTAGAACATCTTTTGTCTAAACTGTCCGTTGAAAGAATTGAGTTAGAATGTAACAGTTGCTTCGTTAGAACATCACGCGAAAGATCGTTTAAATTTGAGTTGCTGTTCGACTGTTTCTGATTGAAATCGTTCTGTTTAGGTATGCAGATTTCAGAATTGCAGAATGATCGGGAAATCTTTTCTACGTTCGCCTCGGAAGATGCATTTGCGTAAGGTAATTTCTTATCGATCTTTAAGAAGTTTTTATCAGTTCTGCCGTGTTTGTGTTTCGATAAATCAATAAGCGACACTGAAAGTCTTTCCATATATTTCATTTCCCCGCTTCCTTTTGATAATGAATCATTTTCTAGAATGATGGATTTTATTTCACTGTTTGAATTAGAAATGAATTCAGGCGTTGGCTCCGTTACTATTCTCGGTAAAATTGCAGGAGTGTAATCCCGTGCATTGTCTTTACTTGAGCTGAGACAATCATTTATCGATTTATTTGATTCTGACAGTTCGGAACTTTCATTTTCTAACGCCTCTTCATCAGTCAAACATTCAGGAATGCTTTCCATGGTAGCTGTTGCCTGAAATCAAATTAAACTGGTTGATATGAACAATAATCAATTGTTTCATTTAAGTGTTCATTTCATTTTATAATTTATTTCATTTTTTTCAAAGTGACTAGTGCAAAAACATGATTTTGAAATTGAGTTTATTATCAATTTAGAATCTCTGCAACCTTAGCTTTCTAATAATAATTTAGGAAGTTAGAAACACAAATCAATCAGAAAACGAAGAATATTTCAAGATATGTATGTTGGCAAAACAGCACTTCATCAGGGGACACACTGTCAGCCAGCATATAGGATCCAAACAGGAAGGCTCCGGTATGTTGGCAGACAGTGTGTCCCCTTATGAAGTGCTGTTTTGCTAACATACATATCTTTAAATATTCTTCGTTTTCTGATTGATTTGTGTTTCTAACTTTCTAAATTATTAAAATAAGACAAATGTGGTTTAAAATGCTTTTGGCGTTTTTCCATTTTGACTTATTATTTTAAATGTTATTTTCTTATTTTGTCATTTTCTGAATTTGTGGAAATCAGTTTTATTCTTTGATTAGCTTTCTAATTATACTTTACTTTCGTTTGTACTCTAATTAAATGTACTCCAAAGCTATAGCAGTTTTTGTCCAAGAAGATAACAGTGGATAGACTAGTGATTTTTAGTCTTTAAATGCGTTTATCTCAAAATCAGATTTTTTTTCGCATTTTCCCCTACCTTAAACACGATTTCTCATGTTGTATTTAAAATAATTGTCTACAATTTTTCATGAGTGTTTTTGATTATAGGGCACATGTTTTGAACTGCAGACTAAGAGAAAAAATTTGCTTTTTTAACTACATTGATCCCTAACTTTCACGATAATAGTTCAAAACATAGTTGATAGCCTTCTAAATAAAATCCTCAAAGGATCTTTTGTTTTTGGAGATAGAAATTTTTTTTTACAGTGTATATGCAAAAAATGCCCCTTATTTTAATCTAAAAATGGCCATTTATATAACTAATGACATAAAATTTTTTTTTGCTAGTTTTATAAATTTTTACACATAATAAAACAAATAAACAAGTTGTTTTAAAATTTTATATTAATATTTTAAAAAAGAGTTGTCGAAACTAGTCGGATACCTTAAGGATTTTAAATTAGCTATCAATATATTTACTCCCGAGATAAATAAAATAAAAGGGAGCATGTTTTGTTTTGTAAGAAACTGGCCTACTCTGGTAGGACGTAATTTGTGTTCGGACGTATCATATGGTAATATAAAGTTTATGTTTGATGGAAATATAAAGTTTATGTTACTTTTAACATAAAAATGGAATATATTAAAGAAATGCGTAAGGAGTATTTATTATTTAGAAAATAATTAATAATTGTTGTTGTTTTTAAAAGGAAACTTAATTATTTATCAGTTGTATATTTCGAATATACGAACCATATCTCATAATTTACTTGGTTTCCCATAGCAGGCTTGTTAGTATTGGCAAGTGGCATAAGAAACAACAACAACATATATATCCTCAGTAAGAATAGACTGTGCATAAGCTACTGTTTAAAATTATCGCATAATAACGAAATTGTAGTGATAATACATGAAGAAATATGTAGTCAACAATGCTCAGGGTTAGCGTGACCAGATTTATAAACCATGAATTGAGAACATATCAACGAGTGTCCTCCAAAAATTTTACGATTTGAGGTCCCATATGTTTTTGGAAAATATTAATTTATTTGTGCTTCAAAGTTTTATATATTTTTTTTATATACTGATAACTAATATCAGGTGTAGAACTATTTTTATCAAACTTGATTTCATTACTAAGCAGTTTTGAAATATCATGTAATATTTTGCATTTGAACACACGTAAAATGAATCAGTACATGATTATTAAAATTTGTTTATTTTTTGCTTAAAGTATTTTAAGACGAATATAGCGTTTTCATATGTTAATTTTATCATCATGTATCTTTGCTTTTTGTTTGTATTCTCTGAAAGATAAAATTATCTTTTACTTTATTTTTTAAAGTGCGTTTTTTTATATTTTACTACATATGAAAAAAAAAAGATTATGTATGCTTTCGAGGAAATTTGAGGACATTTGAGAACACATCTTAAAATTTGGGGACATTTTGTGCCCTCAAAGAGTTTGAAAGTTTTTGAGGACAATTGAAAAAATTCGAGGACTTGTCTCAATATTTGAGACCGATTTGTCACTTTATTCATGAGTAATTTAGCAAGAAATTAATATTTCGATTCCTTTTATTAATCTATTGAATTGTAAACAGACTTTCTCGGCTTTGACTTAAATTTTTGCTAATATATATATTTTTTAAAGGAGAAAAGTCCTGATTATAGTCTAATAGAGTAAGAAATAATTGAAAAGTTTTTTTTAATATTTTTTATTATAGTCTGTTTTTGACAAGGCTGTACTAAGCTCGCCTAGATCACCCAAAATACAATATTATTTGTTATGACATCAGCAGAAATTCTGAAAATTATGTGAAATTTTATACTTAAGTTTGTAATTTACTATGATTGTTTCTTTAGATATCCAGGGAAGATGCTCAATGTCATTTTAACTTAAAATGCATACTTATTTATCATTAAATCGTAAAGTTAAAATAATTAATATATTTCTGGGATAAAAATGCATATTACTTACAGCTTTTAAAATAGAAATGAAATTCTCTGAGACGGTTTTATGGTATCCGTTTTCTTTCCAAAAGGAACATAAATGATTGATTTTAAAGGAAAGGAAAAGAAAAAAAATCCACTTCCTCTGAGATGACCTGACTTCCGGATCTTACAAGAATTCTTAAGACAAAAGAAAAAAGTATTGCCTTACACTGCACTCTGTACTTATAAGAAAACAAAATTCAGAAATTATGATCAAAATTAATTCAAAATAATTAATTTTCCACTAAAATTTCTTAAAAATCTCTTAGCTTTAAAAAATTGAAAGTGGCATACAGCACTTTACTCAGATCTGTATATAATTGTAAATTCGTTACTCAAATTTATAAAAAAACGTGAGTGCTTTACTTTAATTTGCGTGAGTAATTGCCATAATCATATTTATATATTATGAATTGTACTGAGTTGTGTTTTCGTACATATATTTATAAAAAAATTCTTTTGGTCATTGGGAATGGTTGGTGTAGTCAACTATTCACAGGGAGTTATGTTTTTCACTACTCTTTTTGGATTACTTGTCAAAATTGAATTTCAAGAATTAAGTGCATGTTATAGATTTCTAATTAATTTTAAGCTAGGAAAAAATAAACAATAAAACAAATATGAGGAAGGTGGAATAAAGAATATAAAAACCAGATGGATTGTTGAATGGGCCTTAGGGTGTTTCAATAAATCCTTATCATCATCATTTACCAATTTATTCTAGCAATAAAACAGGTTATGATGTTTCTATTTGCAATGATCTCATTAATGAGTCGTCATATTTTGATAGCATTTTCTTCCTAGATGAAAAATTAATTTGCTAATTTTGCCTGTGACTTGCTATGCTCTAAATGTTTTGCGTCATGTTAAAAGAAAGAAATACATAAAGCTTTATGCTCATTAAAGAACTCAAAAATAAAAATTGTCAAAATGCCGACTGTTTTGATGGAACAAGATTGAAAAATATGGTTTTCTGGAAAATGCGATTTAAGTTTACGCTTTATTACTATACTCAATGATCATCGAATTTTTTTTTTTTTGAAAGTTCGAATTTTTGAAACAATAATTATTTATCTTTATGAAAACAAGAAGAAGAAAAAAAAGTAGACTTTCTGAAAATATCTGGATGGTGCAACCCTTAGTAAAGCATTCCACTAATAGTTGTTAAAATTTTTTTTTGCAATATTTTGAATTACTTCTGTGTGATTTCAACAAGCATCCACTACACTAAAAATATTAAAAATTATGACACAAATGATTCAAAATAGAAAAATAAAGGTAGGTTATAAAATGTGATAAGAAAATGCATTTAAGTTTATTTAATCTTATAGTACTATACTACACGTTAAAGTATATTTTTACAAAGCTTTAAGTCAATAAGTGAAACCTTGGAAGAGAAAGGTTCTAGAATTTTTTCTATTAGGCTATTAAAGATAGAAAATAGTTTTTTTTACAATTATTTTTCTAATCTGTGGATCTGTTTTAAGCAACAACGCAATTATCTCATTAAGATTTTGCACATTTTTTTTGATAATCTACATATTAAACTTAAAATACTTTTCAGAGCTCAATTTTTAAATTTTCTTTATTATTTATTTATATTTTTTTTTTAATGTACGGTCTATTTCTTACTAAAATTTGCTTTTCTTGGCTTACATCTTTGCCAAAAATTAATTTTTTTTATTTGTTTCGTTAAAGTCGTTTTATCTGAATTATTGGCGTATAATTTTCATAAAATTGTTGCAATATTTTTTGAGAGTTCATGTCCATCAAGGGAATACTTTTTAAGGGGTCTTCAAAAATTGATTAAAAATTTTTTAAATGAAGTTTTAAAATATTGCTCTTTCATATGTTTAAAATATCAGAAAAATAATTATTAGAATATGCTTTTTTTATTAAAAAATATGCTTCATTTACTAAAAAATATGCTTTTTTTTGTCCTCTAAAATACGTATAACCCATTAATGAACCTTCTTTAATAAAATTTCTGTTTTTGATATAAATGCAGGTACTATTCCTGAAAACTAATTGTCGAAAGACAAAGATATCGAAATCTCCAAAATGACAAATGTTTCAGGTTCAAGCACTGAAGTTGCTATTTATCATAAATTTTTTTCTTCAAATTTTATTGCTTTTTTAATATTTAAATACAAAAATTCAAAGAAAATTGCTGTCTAAGAATTATTTTTATTTTAATTTCAAAAATTAATCATAAAAAGTTATAAAAAAATTTAATTTTAATAAGCGATTTGATAAAATGATAATTGAATGAATAGATTAAAATGCCCACCGCTTAACTTTCAGAACAGGAAAGAATTCAGCTGATTGTCTCTGCTTTTTTCGAGCATGCTGGCTTTCCTGAATTAAAAAAAAAGAAAAAGAAAACCCGGTGTTTTTTTTCATGTTATTCAATGGGAAAGTAATACGCAACAGGGAAATTTCTATACGTGCTCAAAATTTGGAAGGTGTTAATTTACTAAATTGTTTTAATTCTTGGCATTATTTAACTATTTATAGTAATTTTAAAGAATTGTATAATCAATCTATTGTGAAAATTACAAAAGGACACACATCATCCAACCATGACCAAGCACACAGCTCTATCTTTAGGGCTCTGTTTCTTAGCGGCCATGGTAGAAATGCCGCGTAATTTTATCTCTGGTCAGACGACGTGGATAGCATCTGAGCTGGTATCACACTCTCCAAACTTCCACATTACAACCAAAGAGAAATGTTTCAGCCACGATAGATTTAGCTTGCACCTTGTTTCACATATACGCCCTTAATTATAACGGGATATTTAAGAATAGTAGCACCTTATTTATAGGATTGTCAGTCAACGATAAAAAAAACTAAATTTATGGCGTAGTACAGTGCACCGAAAAAAAAAGAAAAACGAACCACTCTGAATAACTTTTGATCTAATGATTGGGTCTTCACGTTCTAGGATTCATTATCAATGGTTCAAAGGGGTAACTTCAAATATACTAATTAATTAATACAGACTACAGCTTAAGTTGCGAAATCAGACCAAACACGTACTTTCTCTGAATAACTCAACCTTTATTTCGTCAGATTTAGATTTCTGAACTCCAAAATATAGGGGTAGTCGCATTCTGGAAAATATGGTCCCAATATAGTTTGTTCAAGAGAGTGATCCAATGTTTGGACCTCATAAAGTTAATTTTATTTTTGAATATTTCGCCATATTTTGGGAATTTTTTAAACTAATTGAAAAGCTTTTGCATGCAATTAAAAAATTCGTTTATCCAAACATAATTTCACGCATAAATAACTTTTAGCAAGTATTTTTATTTTATTGAATTTTGAAAAACATAGCTTTCTCGTTTATCCTTTATCCAAAGATAACTCCATGCAAAAAAAAAAAAAAATAGTTAATATTTACTATATTTTTATTATTTTGTTTGCTTATAGTTGAATAAAGTTTGAATTGTCAAATATATAATTTTTTACATCATGTAATTTTACATCGCAAAACACAAAATTTGAGCGAAATTAGTTGAATAGCTCCAGAGAAATCGAATTTTAAATACGCGAATCGAATTGTCGAATTTTTTAAAACTCGATTTCTCAGGAACTTCAACCGATTTCGCTCAAATTTTGTATTTCGCCTTATAAAATTACGTACTTTAAAAATGATGTTGTTAAAGCGCCATCTACTCGAGCCTTGAAAATGCACATTTTCAAGGCTCGAATAGATGGTGAGATCATCGTTGTGTGCGTGTAAGCGAACACCATGTAAAGTGATAATAAATGAGTGTTTTATTTCTACAGTCCATTAAAGATGTAATTATTTAATGGATATTCAGCTCTAGTTCTTTCCTTCGGTAAGTTACCCATCAATTGAGCTGATATGATAGGCTTTACCTTAAGGCATGTTAAATCAGCTCAATTAATGGGTAAGAAAGAACTAGAGCTGAATATCCAGATGTAAAAATATTTATACCTTTACTATTCAAAATTTTTTCGACTATTATTAAACTAAATAACAAATATTAACTAAAATTTATTTTTTGCATGAAATTATCTTTGGATAAACAAAGCTCTCGAGCTATGGCGAAGAACGCAAAAAATAAAACTAACATAGTAAGGTTCAAACTGTGCATCGTTCTCCTCATCAAACTATGGGGACCATATTTCCCTGATTGCGGCTACCCTCTAGAATATGGGGCTCAAGAATCTGAATCCGTCCGAAAAAAAAAATATGTTTATTCAGAGAAAGTGTGTTTTTGTGTTTGATTTCGTGACTTAAAATATCGCCTGCCCTAATTAATTTGCATATTTGAGGTCACCCCCTCGAACCATTAAGATTGAGTCCTCTCGAATGTGAAGATCCGATCATTAGATCAAAAGTTATTTCAGGGCGGTTCGTTTTTTTTCTTCTTTTTTTGGAACACTGTACATTTCCATACAACTGTGAAGAGGAAGAGAGGAAAGTGTGGAGGTCAACACACAACACATGGAACCGCCGATCTTCTTCCCAGATAACCCATTCGAGCCTTTCAATCACTGTGAAATTTTTTATACCGTGAAAAGCTGGCCAATCAAGTTCATCTTTTTTCTTCACGACAATTAGAGGAATAGAATCATATGCAGTGAGAACGAACCCTCAAGTTCTCGGTCCCCTCCTTTAGTATTTTATAAGTAAGCTCAAAGCTAGTAAAAGAACGTGCGATAAGGAAAATCATTTGTATGTTTGTAAACAAATGGAAGTGACATTGGTATTGACCTGTTGTTTTGGTATAAAGTTCATAATTTTTATTTAAATGTTTAGGAATATATTTAATTTTATGAAACTTTACATTTTAAATTGAAGTTAGCAATTAAATGTTTACTTAAATAAGAATTAAAGAAATTACATTTTTATGATAATTTTTTCTTCTTTTCCATCTAACTCTTACCAACGTTCAATGATTTAAATCAACTTGGTTTTAAACTAGATTTGTTCATAATTTAAATCAATTGATTTTTTTGAAAATATCATTGATTTAAATCGAATAATTTTTTTAAAAATGCCATCAATTTAGAAATTTATAAATCATTTTAATGTGAGGTTGTTAAATGTTTTTATTGATATTTATATTTTTAAAATTTATTGTAGATATATTGCTGTTTTAAATTATTTCCAATTAACAAATATAAATTTTTCCTACTATAGCACTTAGCTGTGTGTAATAAATCACAGAATTTTTGAAATATTTTAAAATTCTTATCAGTTTTTTGAATATTTCAGAATGTAGGCTTAAAAAAAAGTGAAAAATTAATTTTTTACCTGTATATATCTGAAAGTGGTTATTAAAAAGAGATTTTGTTTGTTGAAAAACACGTGCTACTAATGAAAATATTATAAATTCTAGTTTTAAAACGCTATTTTCAAAACCACATTTTATTTTAATGGTGCAAACATATTTCTAAATTTTTAAACATATACAGTATTGAAAGGAACCTTTTCTAATCAGGCATTAAAAAGCCGTTTAAAGTTAAACTCAGACTGCTTTATCTTCCATTTTTGAGCATGACCACTTGGATCAGTCTGCGTAGGGACCGAGGGTGTGCGGTATTGGTCCTCGTTAAACTGTGCTACTGTAACGTGCAGGTCGTTAGGCTTCCGAAGCGGGGGTGCAATCCCCTCTGCAGAGGATCAAAATTGTGATGGGATGTCTTCGGATCATCCTGAGGGATGTTTCCCAGCCCATTGTGCAGCTCTAGTGCGATGTAAATGAACTACAACCAGGGGTCTGTCCAGGCCGAATTTACTACCGTTTAGCGGTACCTTCACAAATTCAATTTTAGTTAAAACGGTAGTTTCACAAATTCAACTTTAGGAAAAACGGTAGCTTCACAAAATACTTTTTCTTAAAATTTTGTTTTTGTATCCCTTAAGAAACATTAAATCTATATTTTTACCATGTTTTTGTGTTGATTTTTTAATATAATTTTTAATTTTTCACAAATTATGTCTAAATTTTCACAAAATGGGTACCTCTCGGAAAAACCTAGACAGACCCNATTTTAATCTGTTTTTCTGTAGCTAAAAGCAATAAATTTCTATTTTATTTTTAATCTGCTATTATGGATTGAAATGTTAGTTATGATTTATTCCTAATAACTTTTCAATTATGTCACCATTTATAAAATTATATTACTAATTATTAATAAAATTTTTTATATTATTTAAAAAAAAATTAAAAACTCCCATTTTAGTAAAAAAAAAAAGATAGACTTAAATGAAATAAATTGGATTTAAAAAGAAGAAAAAAGATAAACGTAAAGCTTGATTGTTATTAGAATTTTTGTTTTATTATACTGCTTATAGACAATAACTTTATTGATCATATCTTTTTTTTAAAAGTAATTTTTCTTTGTTCAGATAAATGTTTATTCTACCTTTTAACATTTATCTAGTCATAGAATTCTCATTTTGGTAATTAAAGATTTGTTGGATGAAGCCATAAGTTTAGAATATTTATTATGTTTGAATGATCTTACATTGTTTCTATTACCAAATTAACATTTTTTCAATTTTATAGGTTATGGAAAATACTGATTTGCTGGATCAAGTTCGTAAATTTAAACTGAAAGGTTTAAAACGAGTATCAACCACTGTAACTAGTGAAAATGGTGTTCGATACACTGAAACTTTGAAAGATGATGGCTGCTATGAAACATTGCCTGAATTTTCCTTGAATCCTGGTTTTGTAATTGATAACAGCTTGGATATTACAGTTTCCTTAGTTTTAGAAGGATTAATACTTGGTAATTATTTTATGCCTGCTTGTAAAATGTGTTAATTAATTATGTCCATTATAAACTGTCTAATTATTTAAGTTTTTATTTTACTTTTAAGTTATTTATAATACATAGTTTATTAATGCTGTAATTGTTCACTTCTACACTTTAAATTTTTTTCATTTGTTAAAATATTGGATTAATTTTCTAAACTATGCCATTTAGATTTAATTCTCATTGCTAAATGTTAGAAATATGCTCAAGTTTCATGGGAAATATTTCTATATTAGCATCTGTACACCAACTATAATTGCCAAGGTGTTGAAATGTCTTTGTATATGAAAAAAATTCAAAATAATGTGTTATAGATTATGTAAATGAATGTAAATGTATAATGTAAATGATTATATTTCTGGTGTTTCTTTTTGAAAATGTTATATCAGTTCTGCATATTTTCGAAAATGACCTAATGCATCTAGCTTAAATTTTTATTATAGTTTATTATTACTTAAACGATATCTTGTTCTTGCATATATATATAATTTACAATTTTAAATAAGTTCATGTTATAAAGGTTTAATATTTATTTTAAATATTTAATCAATATTCCATAATGAGCAAATTAATAAGCTAATTATAAACACACTTAAAATGGTCAAAATTCAGAATCGGTATTTCACAATCTTCAAACTTATTAACTAATTATAAAAACACTTAAAATTGTCAAGATTCGGAATCAATTCACTGTAATTTAATTGATCGTAAAAAAGTTTTTCTTAACCCTTTGTTTTTTATACAGCCGCAGACTTCTTTTTTCATCTTTGTTTCATATTGCATTTTGTTATACAGCTACCTCTACGCAACTTCCATCTGACCTAATAGTTTGCTGAAAATGTACATTACATTTTAATACATATTACTCTTTGGAGGCTAATCTTAAAAGGAACTAAAAGCCCATCATAAGCAATAAAAGTGTTTTCCAAACCAAATTAAGTACCCACTAATATTGTAAAACCACATGTCCACCACAAGATGAAAGTCGACGTGTTGGTGGTGGTGGCAGTTACTTTGGAAACTGGTTATTTCATGGTACAGTCGAACCTGCCTATCTCGAATCTCGCGGGAAAGGGAAAAAAATTTGAGATAGAGAGGTTTCGAGATATACAGGTAAGTTTAAAAAATGAAATTCGAGCAGCAATGTTTAATTAAAAGAAACTTTAAATCATTTATGTTGTAAAGAATTTAATTATGATTACATATTAATTACATCTAATAAAAGTTTTTAACAGTCATACGCACCTCATAGGTAGTCTTTTAATGATTTCTGACGTCGGATTTTNAAAAAGTTTTTATTAACCCTTTGTTTTTTATACAGCCGCAGACTTGTTTTTTCATCTTTGTTTCATATTGCATTTTGTTATACAGCTACCTCTATGCAACTTCCATCTTACCTAATAGTTTGCTAAAAATGTACATTATATTTTTATACACATTACTCTTTGGAGGCTAATCTTAAAATGAACTAAAAGCCCATCATAAAAGCTTACCTGTGTAGGCAATAAAATAGTGTTTTCAAAGCAAATTAAGTACTCACTAACACTGGAAAACCACTTGTCCACCACAGGATGAAAGTAGATGTGTTGGTGGCAGTTACTTTGAAAACTGGTTATTTCAAGGTATTATAAGTGTGTTATCTATTTAGTTTTTCCATTTACCAAATGGACAAACAGTTGCCTTCCATTGTCCATACAAAAAAGTGGCTTACACATACTTTTATTAACTTTTTCCATAGTCAACTACTTGTCTACTGTTAGGAAATAATCTCATAGTAAGTTCTAGTTAAGAAGCAATTGCTAGCTTATAGTTGCTTATCTTACAAGATATTTTTATGCAGCTAATTTTGTTGTTATTAAAACATTTAAAATTTATGGAAATATGGATTCAAATAATTTTTGATGCATGAGATATTTATATTTTTGTTTGATTCTGATATGAATGTTAAATATTTATTTAAATAATTTATCTTATTTTAGGAGAATGGTTCACTTATTTGGCTAGGAATTATTTTTACATTTTTTATTTACTTCTGTTGCCTAATAGGTGCACTTTTGGGGGTGTTAAATTTGATATTTTATTTCTACATGTCTTGATAAGTGTGTTTGTGTATTCATTATTTATAAAGATACCAAGAGAATTCTAAAATAAATAACAACATATATATTTTTAGAAGACTATCGAACAAATACAACAAACTGGAAGCACTAAAGGCCAGGTATGACTAAACCCTATGCATCATCCAGTTTTTGAAATATTTCATGTCCAATTTATTATAATATAGAGTATATGAATACCATTAGATGCTGTTTTCTATATCATTTGCATCATCCAGTTCCTGAAATATTTCATGTTCAATTTATTATAATATTGAGTATATAAATGTCATTAAATGCTATTTTCTATATCATTTGTTAGTAGCATTTTGAAAAAAATTATTATTTATCATAATTATTATTATTTTCTTCTAATTTTTACAATTTTGTGGAATTATTTTTGTAAAATTAAGAAGATAACAAACTAATCACTAATATACTACTCAACAAAATACACTTTAAAATTTCTAGGTTTCAGTAAAAAGTTACTGGGACAAATACAATCCAAATTACTAGGCGTGTTAAATTATAAGGTAGGTATTGTTAAAAACAATGTATGACAATAAAATTACTAGTAATGCAATAAAAAATAAAAGTGGAACATTTTAAAGAACTGTCAAATTAAAAATATTAGTCAACACTTTCGATTAAGAAAAAGTTTCTGAAAAAAAAATTGTGATTTTAATTTCTCAGATAAATTTTAATGCTTGTATAAGTCTTGTTTCAAAGACTTTCATTATTTTTTTATTCAAGTCTTATTTTGTTTGGTATTTAATGAGATTTGGGAATCAAAATTGGAATTTCTTTTGGTATATTTAAAATGTCTATAGCAGTTTTCTATTACAAGAATGTCTTTGTCTCTTGTATTAGAAAAAACTCTCTACCTAACTTAATCTCTTCTTGTAGTTATTGTTCTCTTTTGCTTAGAAAATTTATACTATCAGTACTCTCATATTAGGTAAATACTAAAATCAGTAGGTTCTGTCCTGTTGCATTTTCACTATATCTTATTACCAATAACAATGTTATGAAAGTCTGAAATTCGGTAAACGTTAATATTCTCCAGTGAATGTTAACATTCAAATAACTTTTGTGAATGTAAAAAATTCAGTCATTAATATCATTATTTTGCTTTTATAATAGAAAATTTAAAAATTCAGCAGTGAATGTTGAATGAAAATGTTTGTTTTTAATCCTTTTATCAGTGCATCCTGAATATTCATAACAGCTAGTGTAAATGAAAATTAATGGTATTTAAGGAAGTTATTTTGCTCAACCTTTATCATAAGTACATGCCTAATGGTAACATTTGCTTTTGCAAGAAAGTTATAATGAAATGTAATAAATTTTTTCAAATATTCACTGGAACAACTTCGTGAATATACATACACTGGAGATTTTACTAATTTTATTGCTTCATACTAACATTGAAATTGAACAATTTATTTCAGAAATTGAAGTTGACAATGCTTTGAAGATAATTCCACAATAAATGGGTCAACTAATGTAAATTGTTTTTGTAAAAATAATTAATATTTAATTACCAATTAATACCATTTTAAAATTATCTTTGTAGGTTCCCAAGATGTCGCTATGGAGCTCAAAATTTTGGAAGACTTCAATGTGACTCATGTTTTGAACATAGGTTATAAAATTCCAAACTATTATGAATCTAAGTTTATTTATAAAAACGTTGATATTTTGGATGAGCCAAAATCAAATATTAGAACATTCTTTGATGGTTGCTTTGAATTCATTGATGATGGTAGACACGAAGGATGTGTTCTTGTTCACTGCAATGCTGGGGTCTCTAGAGCACCGACTATAGTCATTGCCTATTTAATGAAGACAAATCATATGGCATTAAAAGAAGCATTCAATTTTGTTAAAAGTATACGGCCATATATAAGACCTAATGATGGATTTATGAGAGTACTTGAAGATTATGAAAAAGAAATTTTTGCATAGTCTGTAGCTTAGTGCCAGAACAACCAATGTTTAAGTTTTGAAAAAGGATTTTAACTTTTATCTGTTAGGATAATCGAAGTTAAACTTTACTAAATTGTACTGTTAGTTCCTTTCATGTGACTATATATTATATACATATAAGAACATTTGGTGTGTCAAAAACATATAACTATGCACAAATAACAATATTTTCCTCAAGAAATTTAAAACTTTAGTTTTGGACATTTTAAAAATATGGCATTGGTTATTCTTGCATTAAGCAACATTTTTATACAGTTTTATACTTTAATTTGTTGTGCTTAATTTGTATATTTTTCAAAGTAGACGGTTTTTTTTATCGTGTAAATACATTATTTATTGATTTCAGCTAAGGTTTTGTATAGCTATTGATACTTTTTATGTAGTTTTTATATATATTTTTTACTTCAAATAATTTTATTTGTATCATATGTTTGTTATATTTGCTATGCATATTTTAACCTATTTATATATTGTTCTTGAGAGGAATTTAAGATCAATGCATTTTGTTAAGTTTTATTTTCATCTATACAAATAAAAAAGATTTTAATAATAAAATATGTCCGTATTTCTACATAAAAAAGTTTTTAGTAAAATTGCAATTATTAACTTGTTAAGAAATAATTTTATTACTTTGCATGCTTGAACTACCATTATGATTGTGAACTTTTCTAGAAAAACTGTGATTGACTGATAGTTAAAGATGTGTTATAGATTTAAAAAGCAAGAGTGAATACTAAAAACTGGAATTCATAAATGTTATATAACACGAGTTATAAGGCATAATTTTAGGTAGAGTAGAAAAACGTAAATAGCCATGCCTCTGGTCTTCAAATTGTGGAAGCTTTAACTTCCACGACTCCCTTGGCCAACAGCTGGCTGCTGTGACAGAAGATTACATGGTTAAGAAAAACAAATGCTTGTTGTAATAGAATATTACAATGTTTGTATGATGCTTAAGTTAAAAGTAATCCTTTAAATTAAAAGGCAATACAAGCATCCAAAGTATAGGTTATTTATAAAAAATATTTAAAACTGAAATGTTATATGTATATATTTAACATTAAAAATACTTAAACTGTGAAGAGAACAAAAATAGTTTGAAAGCAATGGAGAAATAATGGTTATGCATTGTATTACTGTTTCATATTTCTTTAATTAACTTCCACGTTTGATTTAACTTTGAAAATGCTGTTTCATACTCACTCACATTGCCTATTTTTAGCGAGAATATCTTTTACAAAATTTTTATTGAAACATTTTATTTATTGTCAGCATTTTATGGTTGAAAGTATTTATATTTTATTACGAAACCATATTTATTATTAAACTGTTATCAGTTCAAAATGTTATTTATATAACAATGAAAAGTTTCATTTATACGTATTGAAATATAGCCAAAATGGTGCCCTCTTTTTACTATTTAAGTTCACAAATTTTTTATATTATCATCTTTACTTTTTTTAGCTAGGTTACTTGTTAAAATTTATTTATTTTACAGGAGGAATAATATTTTCCTGGAAAACTTTGTTGTAAAATACTACTCAATAGGTATAAGTTAACTTAATTATATTGCCTTTGTTTCTAATAGCAATTTATAAAATTTTATTTTTACCCAGATTTTATTAACTTGCTCTTATTTCCACATTCGTTAAATGTTTTTTTATGTGTTGCCTTTTTGATTTTCAGGAGTGTACTTCATTTACTTTTACAACTTTGTATACATTGTTTTATTTTTCTGTTAAAATTTGTTTTTAAGTGTTTTTCCTTTGTATAGCTTAAAATTTTATGTGATTGTTTTCGTGCTGTTGTTGATTTTTTAACTTCAATGCAATGGAACTTCATTAGTTGCATTGGCATGCGCAAACTGCATAGCTTTGCCATAATACTGTTCTGATTTACTCTGTGTTTTCAGTGTAAAAATGTTCAGTATCACCCATAACTTTTAAATGAATTTTTTTAAAAAACTTTAGCATTGTTATGTAATGTTAGTCAGAATATAAAAACATTTTTAACTGCCATTTTGTTTTTTACATATTGAAAATGAATTTTATGCTTAGCATTGAATTATCTAACCAATGTGTCTCAAGATTTCTTCTTCGCATGCTTTCTTAAATAAAGTGAATATTCTAATTTGTATGAGATATCTCATTATGCAATTAAAATTCTAAAATGCCCTTTGTGTGTTGAATTGTTTTGATCAAGCATTGCCAAAACATTTTTAATATTTTTTTAATTATATGTTATTACATTAGTATTAGCACTCGTATCTTATTAATTACCTCCCTTCATGGAATTGCCTTTTTTTTTTAGGTAAACACAGGTTTTTACTCTTTTTTTCTGTTTTTCTTGTGTATCAGACTTAGTATATAGGTCTGCTTTATAAGCTAATTAAAATTAAAGCTATTTAAGTTTGGTGTAGTAAAATCAATTACTACACCAAGCTTCTCAATTACTAAACCAGACTGTAGTAAATCTCAGTTTTTTACCATAAACTCTATATTTGAATTAATTCTATAATTTTGCACTGTTTAATATGAAAAGGATCTATTGAAATTTATGTTACTTTTACCAAATTTATTCATGCTTATGCTACTTCTACTAAAATTATGCATAGATTTTTTACAATGGGTGATCTTTCTTATCTTGCTCTTTAACAGAATGTCATATATTCTTATATACCTGTCCTTTATATTATCGCTTTTGAAAGTTAAACTTAATTTTAAGATGATAAGCTCAGAGTACATTATTCTATTAAAATAGAGACAATTTGGTTTTGAAAAACAGCTACAGTAAATGGTTTTTTCATAAAAAAGAAGAAATTTTGTATTGAAAATTAGTTACAATGCATAGTTATTTTTCAAATGTAGTTGCTAGGGTCATAAATAGAGAAAATTTGGTTTTGAAAATTATCTACAATGTACAGTTATTTTACAAATGCAATGAATGGGGTCATAAATAGAGAAAATTTGGTATTGAAAATTAGCTACATTGTATGGTTATTTCACAAATGCAATGAATGGGCTCATAAATAGAGAAAATTGGGTATTAATAATTAGCTACAATGTACGGTTATTTCAGAAATGCAATGAATGGGGTCATAAATAGAGTAAATTTGGAAATTCCATATAATTTTTCAAAATATTTCAAAACTAAATAAATGGGTACTGTATTTGTAAAGACTCTGAAAAATCTAATCACTGCTATTTACATAAGTGGGCGAAGGCTAATGCCTCGTGTAAAAATTTATTTAAACCTATAGTATTTAAGAGGCCCTCATTTGATATTTTTTTATTCTAGAAAGCATGACCAGGGTTATTTTAATCTTAGAGTTTTTATCTTTTATTTGTAACTTTCAAAAAAAGCAGAGTTAGTGAATTAAAATGTATCATGGATAAATGCATTAAAATTTTAATGCCTCAAAATTTTAATTCATTAACACGCATCCTTAAATATTCTGAAGGTATCGAACTATTGGCCTGAAAAACCAGACAGCCTCTATTCTGTATTACAAACAAAGATTAATTGTATGAAAAAATTAAAAAATTTTAGGTATATTGTATTACATTATTAAGGAATTGCATATTTTTGCATATATGTATGCATATTTTTAATTTGGGTTGTATTTTAATAATTTATCGTTGAGTTTCATTTTCTTTTGTTAAATTTATTTTTTTAAAAATGTTAATGAAGTTTATGAGCATTAATGTTACTGTTTTTCTAAGTTATATTAGTAAAAGCAAAATATAATAAAATAAAAGATTGCCTCCCTGTTTCATCAGACCAATGAAGTTAATCATTTCTGTATTCCATCTATTGATGATCTCTAATCATGGCAAAATGTAATATTTTATTGCAGTTTTATTTTTAAATACTACATTGTGAACATATGGTGTTTTTTCCTAACAACATTTTCTTTTTTTTTCCGTCCCGAATACTTGCTGTATGGAAATTTTATTTAATTTTCATCTGATATGGGCTAAAATTAATAACATGTATGTTATAAATATAGTTTGCATTGTTTGCAGGATTTTTTTTGATCGTATTTGTGCTGTTATTAATTTCCAAGACTGATATAATAACTCCTGAAATTATTCTGTCAATTACATATCAATTCAATACGTTTTAAAGTAACCTCCACCTGATCGTATCGCTTCCGTACTTGGCTGTAAAAGCTTCAGAAAAATGTTTTAAAGTTTTTTTTTTCGGAATGCTCTTTGAATATGACACTTTTAATGACTTTGTCATTTTTAAACTCAACAAAATTTTCACTTTTGGTAACAAATGTCTCCAAGAGTTTAGTTCGAAAGGTATGGTGAATGATTCATCTCCTAAACCAAAATATATGCGAAGGGAACAAAGCAGCAATGTTAAGTACGTTGAAGTCAACAAGAAAATCCTTGACGTTAGAGTTCCAGTCAAGTATTTTTAAAAAATATTTCTGAAACATACAGATCCACGTATATAACGGCAGACGAAGTTTTTTTTTTTTAAAAAAAAAAACATATTAACTTGGTATGTAATTCACATTGTATTTTTAGGCGATATTAGATCAATCCTGTGAATTAATTGCTGTATTAGTTTTTGATTAATTGATGCTGATTTTAAGACATTTTTTGTTCATTTTCTGATATTTTGTTAATAATAAAAGCTTTTCTTGAAAGCATTATTTACGACAAAAATTACATTAACGGTATACACGATGTTAAATTTATAAATAAATCTGTTGAAAGTCTAAGAAATTGTCGAGAGCTCAATGTTGAAGAGGAAATTTTATTTGATTGCCAGTAAAATCTACAGATGGCGTTGGCAGCGCCTCTGAAATTAAATTTAAGGGAAGTCCATAGGGCATTTATCAATAATGCTAAAACTGACATTTTTTCGATTTATCTTTTTTAAGAAACTACTTACGATATCGCTTTGAAATATTTTGGGGATATTTGAGATTATATCAATTGTACGCTGTTATAATGTTTTCAAAAGTGAGTGTTCCTCAAAAGTGATGAAACTTTTTAAAAAATTAAAAGTTCTCAGCTCATAATTTTTAAAAAAAAATTTCTGCCAATTATATACATTAACAGCTATCATAGAGTTAACATGTCTGTGTAAATATTCTGTTACAAAAAAAAAAGAAAAAAAAAAACAAAACAAAACCGAAGCAATATTCTATTTAGATGCTGAGAGTTAGTTAAAAGTTAGTTTTAGCATTTTTCGTCTATGCCTTACAGACTCCCCTAAATTCTGAACATTCTTTTTTATTTGAACCATAGACTTATGAGAATTGTTTTGCGCGACATTTCAATCATTAAATTTAAAAGAATTAAGCAATTTTTAACTGTTATAGTGTTAGTGTTTTCCATTAAAATTTTGTTATTAAACTTGAGTTTTTTTCCTTTTAAACGAACCAAAACCACGGAACCATCTATTTAGGATTATATTCTTCGATAAGGGTTCCATAGGAGAGTCTTAAGTCATTGTTCATATAAATCTTTCACACGTTTAATAGCTTAATTTCACAGATTTTTTTAAAAATAATTATATTTAATAAAGATCAAAAATAATATGACGAACGATGCTTTACAATTTACTGCGTATATGAGTAGAAATTTATAATAAAAATAAGCTCAATCACAATAATTTAATTACACATTTTGGATTATTTTTAATGTCGTATTTCATAATTACAAAGTTAAATATTTTGTAAACTCAGTTCAAATTCCATGTCCTGTCTTTTTTTTTTTTTCAATATGAAAATTAGCATGGTTATGAATATTTACAGGTATAGTTCGCAAAAAAAAAGAAAAAACAGACCACCCTGAATAACTTTTGATCTAATAATCAGATCTTCACATTCTAGGACTCTAATGCTGTTAATTAGTGCTGACGATATTATAAGCTATGAATATTATTATATTACAGACGATAATATAAACTATATATATTATATTCTATGACATCAGACACAAGAACCTAATTTCTCTAAATAAATATACTTTTTTTCGACGGATTTTCATCCCTCAAAATATGGGGATAGAGCTAATTTGGGAGACATGGTCCAAAGTTTGGAACCTTTAGCGTTAATTTTACTCTTTGCGTATTTCGCTATATCTTGAGAGTTTTTTAAGCGAATTGTAAAAATTTTTGTGCACAATTGTAAAATTCTTTATGCTAAGATAATTTTAGGAAAAAAAAAACTTTTTGTAAATATTTATTATTTTTTATTATTTAATAACAGTGAAAAATTTTGAATTATAAAGTATAAAATTTTTTATAATATATAAGAGAACGTAATTTTACATGGCAAAATACGAAATTTGAGCGATTTCGGAAGGAGAAATCGATTCTGAGAAATGGAATTTCAAAAATACGAATTAGTCCTAGAAAGTTAACATCTGATTATTAGATCATTATTTAGATTATTATTTAGAGCAGTTTTTTTTCGTGCATATTACGGAACAGATGCCTTGTGTAGAAATACGTTTACAATTGAGTTAAACTTTTTTTGTCAAGTGAAATTAAACCATGGATAATGAACCACATACAGTTCGACCCTTTACAAATCTGACAACCAATAATATCATAAAGATGTGACCGGCAAAATATAGGGTAAATATCAAAGAAATTGGGAATTATCAATGACAGATTATTCATAAGGATTTGAGTAGGTGTGAAGTAAGATTTGAGTAGATAATAAGGAGACTTACAAAAATTACTTGCAACTATTTATGTAGTCACTAAATGCAACTATTTATGTAGTCTCTAATCTCTGATTTAGATGCAAAACAGAATGAAGCAACACTTATCGTTTTTAATTACATAATCGTAGGCGTAAGTGATAACTACAACCACGCTTAATTGAATATAGAAACTAGGAGAAAGATAGTAATGTTTTTTGTTTGAAACCCACTGATAACGTCAGAGATCATTTAGCAGATAGCTGATTATAAAAGAGCATTTATTTTATCAATGAAAACCTCCTCTCGTATTGTTTACTTAGTTTTTCTGTGTTCATATTCGATTGTTTTATAAGCACTAGTTTCCAGCTGAAGTTATTTAGCATTAACTGTATATTTAAAGTGTGTGATGGCTCTGCGTAGAAAAAATGAATACATGTTTACATGGAGAATAGAGAATTATTCTTTCTGCTATCAAAATAACGGTGAGTGCTTGTTCAGTCCCAATTTTATTGATGAAAACCTAAGTGGAAAGGAATGGTTCCTACAGTTGTTTCCAAGAGGCGAGAGTGAGATGACATCGGAATATGTTTCGTGCTACTTGTTTCAAGATTCGTTGGACGAAAGTTCTTTTTCGTTCGACTTAAAAATCGAAATGGTTGGTGCCAGTGGTAAGAAATTAAAAACTTTTGAAGTGACTAATAAATCAACTGGAAATGAATGTAAATGGGGAAGCTCTGAGTTTATTGAAACCCGGGAAATAATGGAAGACGCAGAGAAGAGTGCTGATGATGTGTTAACTGTTTATTGCTACCTGTATGGTGAAAGCTTTAGAAAGTTGAAGTCGGAAGAAAGCATTGCTCGTACAAGGATCGGCGTAGATCGTCTAAGCCTTAGATGGAATGTGTTCTGCAAAAATGGGATGGTTTTAGAAGATATCATATTCCCTCGAGGTATTAAGTTCTTGTTTACCATATCTAAAACTGACAACTCTCTTAAGATAAATGTTAAAATTTTAAAGTCGAAAATTAAACTGTGTTATTATGTTGATTGTAAGTTGACACTACTTGACGCAAGAGACAAAGAGGCATGCACAGAAAGGTCTTCGCATTTGTTTCAGTTAAAGCACCCATTCGAAATTTGGGAGTTTCCTTCGGTTGCTTTCGCGCATGAATTGGTGCGTAATAAAAAGGACTATGCCGAAAACAAAGCCATTGCTTTTTTGTGTGAGTTTTCATGCTCGAATGCTACAGAATCGAACATTCTTTCTGTTTTTGACGATGTTACTCGAATTTCTTCCTTACAAGAAGATTTTAAGTGCATGTTCTTGAGCAAGAAATTTTGTGATGTCAAACTAAGTGTAGAAAATCATGTTATAGAAGCCCATAAAAGTGTCCTGGCGGCTAGATCTCCAATATTCTGTGCTATGTTCGATATGAATATGATTGAAACTCTAACTGGTACCGTTAAAATTGTTGATATCGATTACAATACTGTTAATCTATTTTTGGAGTTTCTGTATACTGATAATGTTGGAGTAATAGATTTTGAGCGTGCAAAAAAACTTTTGATTGTGGCTGATAAGTACCAAGTACTAACATTGAAAGAGAAGTGTTCGATCTTTTTAAATTGTAAAATGTCGTTGACAAATGTATACGAAATATTAGTTTTGGCTGATACAATTAGTCATGCTCGTCTTAAAGCAGCTGCGATCGACTTTATTGTTAAAAATTCAGAAGAAATTCTATTATCATCAGAATGGATAACGTGGCTACAAAACAATACGGAATTGGCATCGGAAGTTTTGTCAAAGCTAACGACAAATTTATCTTGCTAACATAGTGTTGTTTAGTAAAAAAAAACTTTTATCAATTTTTTTATTACTTACCAATTTGTTAATTAACCATGAAAATTATGGATCAATTCACTTTTATGAGTTTATAAGATTATTATTTAAAATGAATTAAATTCATACAATACTTATAAAATCTGTTGTAATTGTTATTTCAAAAAGCTTATTTTTTATAATTAAAGTTTTGTGATCTATTTAAGCTTTTCTTCACTTTTTAAAATTATCGTGTGCAACGTATAAACTTTAATTGCAAACCAAGCCAAATGCACAGCACAACTAAATTTTTTCGATTATTCTAAATTTAATTATTCTTACACAGGGTGCGTAGCGTTTCTAAAAAGTGCTTAAAGGTGCTTATTTTCTATTTTCGTTTTTTAAAAGCCTTTAAAGGTGCTTTTTTCATTGGGTGCTTTTAAAAAGTGCTTAATTTTTCCTTTTTTAAAATGAGATTCTTCCTTTACCATGTTGATTTTTGCTACGAATTATGCAAAATGACACAGTTCACATTGCTCTATTCAACGTTTTCTCAATAAATTCAACCCCAATCTATTTCGGCGCATTGTCAGTCCTTAGCGTATGAAAACGCCATTCGTTTTGCATGATTCAAAATTTCATGATTTTTGACAATTTTCAAAAACAATGTCAAAAGGTTTTTTCTTTTCTTTGACATGATGGTTAAAAGAAGATAAAACCGTCAATTGTCAAAAACTTTCCAACTCTGCCTAATTATGATATTTTTTTTAAAGTGCTTAAAAATATTTTTTGAGTGCTTAAAAGGTGCTTATTTATTGTTAAATAATTTGGCTACGCACCCTGTTATATATATATATATATATATATATATATTTATATTTTATAAGTAAGT